ATACCATTTTCGATACCACAAGGATAAAAACTAAATTTAACTGAATTCTGACAGGTTAGTGTCTTTCATTTCAAACTGACCTGTTACTGATGTTATAGTTGCCCACATTAATGACCCTAACCCTAACCCTGACCCTAAACCTAACCCTGACCCTAACCCTAACCCTGACCCAAACCCTGACCCTAACCCTAACCCTAACCCTGACCCTAACCCTAATCCTAACCCTAACCCTAAACCTAACCCTAACCCTGACCCTAACCCTAATCCTAACCCTAACCCTGACCTTGACCCTAACCCTGACCCTAACCCTAATCCTAACCCTAACCCTAGCCCTGACCCTAACCCTGACCCTAACCCTAACCCTCCACCCTTCATAATTGTGATAAATAAATATTTTTTGATGAAACTTGTTCGGAATTATTGTACAAACCTATTTAACATCCACTATTTTAACATAATATTATGGATAGAGTTTAATTAAGGGTTTGAAAGATTAATTTAACTATTTTTAAATTAATGTCTATATTGCCATGAGGCATTACGATTTTCTTATCTGGAATGTTCCTATTGGTGATGTAATAAAAATGGCTGACTTGGATGTGGGCTGAGACGGATATGTACTTGATTAATGTTGGCGTGTTATTATTAGCCATTAGCCGCAGCTAGCAGTACAAAGCTAACGTCTTGTTAATATCATAAACAACGTAAATAAATACAAAAAATCAGAGGGGGGGGGGTATCGATACTTTTGAAAATGAGTATCGTATCTGGACACAAAATTTTTGTATCGATACTTTTTTGAGTATCGATACTTTTGACAAACCTAGATCCTGCTATGAATTATTAGCTAATTTAGGTGAAAAACCTCCTATTATTTTTTTAGATACTTCTCTGCTTGCTTTTATAACAAATATAAAAAAAATGGACTCACAAATCAGAGGACTTTTCTGGACTTAAATCAGCAGTTTGCTGGTTTGACCTTGGCTGGTTTGACCTTGGCTAAAGTGCATTGGTTAATTGGTTAATTGGTAATTGGTTAATTGCCTGGTTTGGCATTGATTAATACCGAGCTGTTCCTGGTTGTGACACTTTTCCTTCTTTTGCCCCTCGTCTGAACCAGGGGAGGAGCAGCAGGAGCTCGAGTTCTGGAGGAAGAACCAGCCCAAAGAAAACGGCCAAGGTGAGTTCAGATGACTCACTTTTGGGGGTTAAACACAACCGGGGTTTCAGCCAATCGCAGAGAAGGAGGGCGGGGAAAATCACCATATTTCGGGGCAAATCTTCTGTTGAGTTTCCGCCTTCTTTCCCATATAATCCTCCACTTCCTTTTTGCTAACATTTAACAAACTTTCTTGCCATTTTTTGAGCTAATCTTTCAAGGTCAACTGAAATCTTTCTGCTAAAAGCTTCATCAAAAACTTTTTTACTAGTGTCTAGCTAGCTTTAGTTATTATTTAGCTATCCCTCAGGGTCAACTGAGGTATTTCTGCTAAAAGCTTCATCAAAAACTTTTTTACTAACGTCTAGCTAGCTTTTAGCAATTATTTAGTTATCTTCCAGGGTCAGCTGAGCTATTCCTAACTAACAGCTTAATCAATAACCTTTTAACTAACATCTTGCTAGCTTTTAGCTATTATTTAGCTATCTGTCAGGGTCAACTGAGCTATTTCTACTTACAGCTTCATTAAAAACTTTTTTACTAACATTTAGCTAACTTATAGCCAACATTTAGCTAAAATATGACCAACGTTTAACTCTCATATAGCTAAAATTAACAGGGTTTAGTCAACATTAAGCTAACTTTCAGCCAACGGTTGGCTAACTTATAGCTAACAAACTTGTTGCCAGCATTTAGCTATCTTTTACCCAACATATTGTTAGCTTATAGCCAAAGTTAAGATAATTTTAGCCAGTAATTACCTGTTGGAGCCAACATTTAACTAACTCTTTCAGTTTAGTTAAACTTCAGTAGCCAACTTGTAGCTAAGTCATGGCTAACATTTAGTTAGCTTTCAGTTTCCCCTGATCCATCTCTAACTATCCTGAACCCAGACTGGTTCCTCATAGGGTTGTCACGATACTAAAATTTTCAACTCGATAGCGATACTCAGGAAAATACTCCAATATACCATTTTCGATACCACAAAGATAAAAACAAAGACCCCAAAATTTAACTGAATTTTCACAGGTTACTGTCTTTCATTTCAATCTGACCTGTTACTGATGTTATCGTGACTGGTGGCCTACATTAATAACCCTAACCCTAACCCTAACCCTAACCCTAACCCTCCACCCTTCATAATTGTGAGAAATAAAAAATTTTTTGGTTAAACTTGTTTGGACTTATTGTACAAACCTATTTAACATCCACTATTTTAACATAATATTATGGATAGGGTTCAGTTAAGTGTTTGAAAGATTAATTTAACTATTTTCAAATTAATGTCTATATTGCCATGAAGCAATTAGGATTTTCTTGCCTGGGATCTTCCTATTGGTGACCTAATCAAAATGGCCGATTGGATGTGGGCGGAGTTGGATATCCATCCTTGTTCCTGCAGACTTGATTAATGTTGGCGTGTTATTATTAGCCATTAGCCACAGCTAGCAATTCAAGGCTAATGTCATGTTAATGATCATAAACAACGTAAATAAATACATAAATAAATCAGAGAGAAGGGGGGCGGTGGTATCGATACTTTTGAAAATGAGTATCGTATCCGGATACAACATTTTAGTAACAATACTTTTGACAACCCTGGTTCCTCAGAGGGGGGGGGTCTGCTTCTGTGTGTGATGTGTGGTTTCCTCCCGCAGAGGGCCTGAGGTGCCAGCGGGGGGGGCTCCCGGACGGGGCGGGCGGCGGCCATGACGGCGGCGGCCATGACGGCGGCGGCCATGATGGCGGCGATGACGACTATCACCGTGGCGACCCGCAGATCGCCATCTGTCTGGACTGTCTGCGCAACACGGGGCAGGCGGGGGAGAGCACGGTCACGGTGAGCAGAAGCCCCTGGTGGCCACGGGTGGTACGGCAGGGCGGGGGTTATATTGCAAATATAATAATATATTATAATATATATTATTATTTTATTATTAACTCATTGACTGCCAGACATTTTGAGAACAGAGTCCCATACTGCCAGAGTTTTTTGAGCATTTTGACTGATTTTTCTAGAGCCACAGAATAGTTTGTGCTATGACTATGTAAACACCGAACACACCAAAAGAAAGAGTAGACTCTCTTCTTTCATCAGGAAAAAAAATGTGTTTCTACCTTATTCCGTTCTTCCTGGACTTGCGTCTCACCGGCGACATGTTCTCTCATAGAACCGTTCCCTTTTTCTTATTTGCCTACAGTCTATGCTCATCTCCCATCAAAAGTGGCACTGCCCCCTAGAGGCTCAATTTGTTACTACATACTCTGTCTAGAAGCCCATATTTACGGAAAAGCTTTAGCAGATCGTCCCCCAGACACTCTCGCTGAAAAACATAAAAGACCTCTATAGACGTCTTTGGCAGTCAATGAGTTAACTGTCAGCTTTCTCCCTGTTTGCTTAGATATTATTATATATATTATTATATTATTATTAACTGTCAGCTTTCTCCCTGTTTGCTTAGATATTATTATATATATTATTATATTATTATTAACTGTCAGCTTGCTCCCTGTTTGCTTATATGTTATTATATATATTATTATATATTATATTATTATTAACTATCAGCTTGCTCCCTTTTTGCTTATATATTATTATATTATTATTAACTATCAGCTTGCTTCCTGTTTTCTTATATATTATTATATATTGTTACAAAAATATAGATACAGAATAGATACAACGGAAACGGTTAAATATTACTTATGCGGCCAGCGGCCCGGTGCCGGTTTTTAAACTAAACTTTTAAGCCGGTGTTTAAAACTAAAGTTTAGTTATTATCAGTGTATAGAAACCTGTTTAAAACTAAACTTTAGTTATTATGAATGGATAGAAACCTGTTTAAAACTAAAGTTTAGTCATGATGAGTATAGAAACCTGTTTAAAACTAAAGTTTATTTATTATCAGTGTATAGAAACCTATTTAAAACTAAACTTTAGTTATTATCAGTGTATAGAAACCTAAGAGGAGCTAAATAGACACAGAATCTGATATAAACCCATCATCTAGAGTGCTATTCTGGATTTAAATTAATGCAAAAATACTATTTAGGGGAAAAAACCCAAAAAGCAGGTATAGTAAAAGACTCTATACAAGAAGAAGGAATCAATGTTAGCATGAAGTGTGTTTTTTCCACGTTTACACACTTTAATAACAGGAAGTATCACTGAAATGTGTAAAGAAACAAAGACAAAATGTAAAATTACATGTTTTATTTGCTCTTGAGGCCCTTTATGGGGCCCAACAAGTCATTTTCTACAGAAGAAATCCACAAAACATGTCGTTTTTTAGCTAATTTTTTTCTCTATAGGCAGGAGAAGTGAGATTGCTTCGGTGTAAATGTTTGCTGCTCTTTGCAGGATTTGATGAAGAGGTTCATCCGCTGCTCCAGCAGAGTCACCGTTGGAACGATCAAGAAGTTCCTCAGTCTTAAGCTAAAGCTGCCCAGCTCCTACGAGGTGAGGGAGGGAACTCAGGGAGGCACCGGTTCCTGTTGAGTTCCCACTCACGCTTTTGTGTATTTTCCAGGCTATGCTAATCAGTAAGAGCAGCTTGGTGCACGTTAGCTAGTAATGGGTTTAAAAATGGAGGAAGATTCGGCCTCTCTGAGGGTCACACTGTAATTCCGCTAGTTTGCCATCAAAAGAGTTTATTTTTGCTGATTTAGTTGCATCATTTTTACCTCTGGGTGGCATATAGACGTGCCAAGCAAGTTTAACTATCTTGCTCCCTGTTTGCTAATTAAGGAAGCTATTAGTGGTTAACAGACACAAGTAGAAGCTAACAGTTAAGCTAACAGCTAAGAGACGCTAATAGGAGTTTAAAAAATGCTAGCAAAAGATAACAGTTGCTAACAGAGGCTAATAGAAGCAAATCGACATTAACAGGAGCTAACAGGAGCTAATGGAAGTTAACAGACGCTAGCATAAGCTAATTGAAGTTAACATATGCCAGCAGATGCTATCAGACGCTAAAAGAAGCAAATAGACACTAACAGAATATAACAGTTGCTAACAGACGCTAATAGAAGTTAACAGATGCTAGCAAAAGCAAACAGATGCGTACAGACACTTGTCTTCATTGATTTTTACTTTCACTGCAACCACTGATGTAACCTTTAGGATTTCTCACTTTTTGCACTTGTTTGCGGTGACATTTTTTATTTAAAATGAAACGGAAACCTGTTTAAAACTAAACTTTAGTCATTATGAGTGTTTAGAAACCTGTTTGAAACTAAACTTTAGTCATTATGAGTGTATAGAAACCTGTTGAAACTAAACTTTAGTCATTATGAGTGTATAGAAACCTGTTTGAAACTAAACTTTCGTCATTATGAGTGTATAGAAACCTGTTGAAACTAAACTTTAGTCATTATGAGTGTATAGAAACCTGTTTAAAACTCAACTTTAGTCATTATGAGTGTATAGAAACCTGTTTAAAACTAAACTTTAGTCATTATGAGTGTATAGAAACCTGTTGAAACTAAACTTTAGTCATTATGAGTGTTTAGAAACCTGTTTAAAACTCAACTTTAGTCATTATGAGTGTATAGAAACCTGTTTAAAACTAAACTTTAGTCATTACGAGTGTATAGAAACCTGTTTAAAACTAAACTTTAGTCATTACGAGTGTATAGAAACCTATCTTAGTTTAGCTTAACTTTAGCTTAGCTTTAGCTTAACTTTAGCTTAGCTTTGGCTTATTGGACTCTGGCCACCAGCTCATTGGTCAGACCTGGTCTGGGTTGTGTTTTTTCTGGGTTATTTTTCCCCGGTCAGACCTGGTTTGGGTTGTGTTTTGGGTTTAGTTTTCTCCGGTCAGACCTGGTCTGGTTTAGTTTTCTCTGGGTTATTTTTCTCCGGTCAGACCTGGTCTGGGTTGTGTTTTCTCTGGGTTATTTCCCCCGGTCAGACCTGGTCTGGGTTGTGTTTTCTCTGGGTTATTTTCTCTGGGTTGTGTTTTCTCTGGGTTATTTTTCCCCGGTCAGACGTGGTCTGGGTTGTGTTTTGGGTTGTGGTTTGGGTTA